AAAAAAAAAAGTCTACGGCTACATTTTTTAAACGTTGCGAAAGAGTCTTTAGCAACGTTTTTTAAACGTTGTCGTAGACTCTTTCGCAACGTTTAAAAAACGTTGCTAAAGACTTTTGCAACGTTTTTTAAACGTTGCCGTATCCCTTCTCTCTTTGGCAACACTGCACTTTGCAACATATGATAAAACGTTGCAAAAGGCCTTTTGCAGCATTTTTTAGCCGCTGCAAAAGGCCTTTTTTGGTGTAGTGTCTACAAACAAGGACGAGAGAGCAAGGAGAGACAACAGGAAACCCTAGAGAGAAACAAGAATATATGAATTTTCTAATCAATTAGAAAAGATTTTTTTACACCCACCCACCAATCCACATGGCTCGCTAACCGTGGACTCGAAAACGGCCTATTCAACTTATGAATAGTAACTCACACTCCCTCTTTTATATTTAGTTAGAAGAAGATATGTGTCTGGCATGGATAGTTTCTCTTGGCCTCCAGATTTCTTTGAATGATATACGGTTGGATCTATTATAATAGGTTTAGTTCTTTACTACAAACACATAGCATGGGAACTTGAGAACAAATAAACAAATGTCTTCATAATGATTGTGTATGCATATGTGCCTGCATAATTGATTCTTTTACGTAATCTTTTCTATTTTTTTAAGGTTTGAAGCCGATTCATTGCATAACGAAGGTGTATATAACTTATATTCAACTCCGCATTTTTGTATATTTTTTTAATAATGTATATTTGGTAATTATTTTCTATCACTTTGTTTGATTCTCATATTTTTTTAAAATACATTTATTATCACTCTTCTTTTCAACCACACATTTTTCATTAAAATAATATTATACATAAATTAAAAAATAATTTATTCTTTTTTAATCACACATTATTTATCAATCTACTATTTCAAAATACATTTTTCAAAAAGAATGAGGGCTCAAACACCCCCTATATATAATTTCATACTATGCATGTATGGTAATTAATGTTTTTAACATGATTAAATATTTTTAAATATTCGATAAATTTTAAATTGATAATTTATCATATTGCTGCTTCTAAAGTAACACAACATTATAATTAATATTTCAAAAGAATATTATTTGCTTCTGAAGAGCATGCATTATAATTTTTGATATTCTCGAAAAATATTGACATGTTGCTTCTGAAGTAATACAATGTTATAATTAATATTTTTAAAGAATATTATTTGCTCCTAAAGAGCATGAATTATAATTTTCATTATTTTAGAAAATATTGAAATATTGCTTTTGAAGAAACAATAATAAAATACAACGTGATCTCGAAGTAACACATGTTTTGAAGAATATATCATTTTGAATTAGTATTTATCCCTGAACAAAAAATATATGACTCGTGTCATTTTGACATTAACTACTTGATTATTATGTAATTATACAATGTTTAATCATATTTTTCGAAATTGATTGTATTTCTTTTACTTTATTGTGTAATTAATCAAATGTCAAATATCATAAAACTTGAGTTTGTAGAACTTGATATATCTAGCAAAAATTATCTGTCATGGGTCCTTGATAATGATATTCATCTTATCTCAAATGATTCGAAAGAGACAATAAAAGAAGAAAACAAAAATCCCAGCAAGATTATGCAAAAGCACTTATCTTCATCCGTCATCATCTTCATGATGAATTGAAAATTGAATATCTCGTTGTGAAAGATCCACAAGTTCTTTGAAAAAATTGACCGAAAGACTTGATCACTTAGGACTATAGTCCTCTCTACATCCCGCTATGAGTGTATGCACCTTCACTTGCAAAACTTTAAAATTATTAGTGAGTACAATCCGAATATCTTAAAAATTAACCTTGTATGAAGAAAAAATCACTGATAAAAATATTTTGGAGAAAACATTTTCCACCTTTCATGCCTCGAATGTGCTGGTGCAGTATATATTGTGAGCGTGATTTTAAAAAGTACTCAGAACTTATATATTACATGCTTATGGCTGAACAAAAAATGAACCGTTGATGAAAAATTATATGTTACGTCCAACTGATTTTGTATCATTGCTTGAAGCAAATAGTACTGTATTGCCTAAAACAAATGCAATATCAACTGTTAAATAATAATCACATGGAAAAGATAATTCAGACTTTTAGTTTCATAAATTTATAATAATATGATAAAAACAAAAACTATTTTTATTGTTTTATTCAAATATGAGTTGAAATAGTTGAATCAACTGTTAAATAGTAATCACATGGAAAAGATAATTCGGACTTTTAGTTTTACTTTATTACTTATTAAATGATATCGTCTAGTTACGACGGAAATCATGCAACAAGTTTTTGTTGCTGCTCTTGGAGACTATTTTATTTAATACTTGCTAAAATTATTTCTAAATTTTGTTTGATTTTCTATTTGTTTTTATTTTTTTTTCTTTTTCAGTTGATCTACTCTTTATTTTTATTTTTTTTTTATTTCATTGTTTGACATGAAACAAAAAAATAAAAAATAAAAAAAAGCAAGAGATCAGCATTAATATGAGATTAGAGGTTTCAACATTGATGATGATAACATGTTTCTAAATTGAGAATTGCTTGTTATTGGCCGTCTTAGATGAATTATTTTTTATTTTTAGGATGGTCCATATGAAGAAATTGATGAAGACAACATGCTGATGAGGAGTGGTTGGGTTATCATGCAGAGCTTTAAAAGGACAAGAGCCCATATGAGTCCAACCTGTGAAAATTGTTGGGCTATTCATTATGCTAAGAATCGTATATTATTGGGCACTCTAGATGAATTGGAAAATTTTCTATAGGATGATCAACATCCAGAAAATGGAGACAACATGTTTGTAGAGAGTTTCTTCACCATGCAATGATTTAAAATGATGGGAAATCCAAATAAGTTCTAATGATTCATACCATCAGTACAATAAATACTAGCAAACATACAATCCGAGATACGAGAATCATTGAATTTCTATTGATTGGAAAATTAAAATAGTGGTAATTCCACTAATCCTCAAAAAGAGAGGAAGACTTCCCATGAAAACTAGCTTGCTTGTGCAATTACCTGTGATTTTAGATAATAAATCGGCCATTCAACCCGATGAAACAACAACTGAAGAAGAAGAGCTTATAGAGAATGAGGAATTAATCATAATGAAGCAAAATGAAACAATGACATTCAATGAAGCTGGTATTATCATGCAATCCTCAAACTTCATTGTTTGCTCTGAAATTGATTTTGTGATTAAGGTCGATGAAGAAGTTGAAATATTCATAGTTGATATCAAGTAAGGTGGTATATAATTCATATTTTTTATGGGCAAAGTCAAAGTTTTGAGGATATGAAATATTGTGTATAGTCAACTTACGCACAATAAGCAAGGCTTCCAAGATCCTATTCAAAGTGTCATGATATTATTATTACAAAAAGTCAAGCTAGGACTAGAAACAAGTGTTTACTGGGAGGCAACCTAATTTTCTATCATTTATTCATTGCATTAATTAATTTATATTGCATGTAGAGTATATTTGCATTTGCATTTCATTAAAAAAATAAAAATAAAATACAAAAATTAATTTTTGTTTTAATATAGGTTTCGTTTAAGGTCATTAAATAGGTTAGATATTTATTCGAAATTAAGCTAGCCTAAACTCTGGTATGATTATATTTGTAATTTTTTTGTGGCTACTTTTAGGTATGATTGAAATATTTGCAGAACGAGCAAATGAGACTAAAGGAAAATAAAAGATGAAGTGCTAAATTAGAGACATCATCATATGACATGATGAGTAATACCAACTTTCTGTTAGCTTATTTAATGCTCGTATCGAAGACAATGTCTATTTCAGGTTTGAAGATATAACTTTGTTATTTTCACTTTATTTTTTGTGTGTAATATTATTAGGGTGTGTTTGATAGGGAGCCAATTCCATGGAAAATGGAATTTGTTTTTCATTTTCCCACTTTTTCTTTGTTTGATAGGTTTTTTTTAGGCAAATATTTTTCGCACTTTTCCTCACATACTTACATTTTCTTGTTTTTCCTTGAAATCATTTTCCTACCAAAGTGGTGGGAAAAGGGTTTTCCAATTTTTTGTTTTTGTTTTTGGCAATTAAAAAAAATTCTAGATACAATGATAAAAAAATTTATCACTTTTATTGACAATTTCCGTACAAAACAAAGCTAAAAAAAATGATATTCGGTGTAGTAAAAAAAATTTGTAATTTTTTGACAATTGGAATAAAGTCTAGACCCAATGGTAGAAAAAATTATCATTTTAATGGATAATTTTCATAAAAAACAAAGTCAAACGGATACCAAATTTTCAACATTTTCATGTAGAAAATTATACAAATCAAACACAATTAATTACAATTCCCAATAAAATAATTTCTAGACAATTCAATTTCCTGGAATTCATTTTTTTTCCACCTATTTTCCGACTCTGCAATCAAATGGACCCTTAGGGGCCGTTCTCTTCGTGTTTCAGTTTTGTATTTTGTGTTTTGAATTCGTTTTATGTTTTGTGTTTTGTGTTTTGAGTGTCTATTTTGAAATTTCTGAAAATGCGTTCTTTTTGCCATTCTGAAAAATAGTTTTCGAAAACATAAAAATGGAAAACGCGTTTACTTTGAAATTTTGAGAATTTTTGTAATAATATTTTATTCAAAAAAACTGATTATTTAATAAATTGTAATTGTTTAATGTAAGCCCCCATTTGACACACATTTTTTTTCTCATTCTCATTCTCGTTTTTTTCTTTCTTCATTTCAACCACATTCTATTAATAAAATAATACCACACATGAACCCAAAAATTCTCATTACTTTTTAACCACACATTCTTCCATCAATCACTATTTCAGAATTTATTTTTTCTCCAAAATGGGTATCAAACAGGGACTAAATATAATATTAAATAACATATACATTTTAAAAATGGTGAAACGTATAATTTTTTTTTCAAGATATTAAAAATACAACATAAATTACATTTGATGAAACAGTTCAATCGATACAATTAGAAATTTACGTGTTATGACAAAATCTGCAGATACTGAACTGCATACAAAATAAATCCACGGAGTCATGTATGACGTCTTGAGTAGTCATTCCACATGTTTCTGCAGTCATGTACGACGTCTTGAATAGTCATTCCACATGTGGGGGATATAAGCCTATAAATAAAGAAATAAGAAGTTCAAGTACTAGATAGTTTCATCCATTTTCATAGAAAAATATGCAGTTCAAGCACCACTATTTTAGCGAGACAAATTCATAAAAGCCAACATAAATATGAGAGACGCGCCTTCCAGTATGTAGAGAATTTCAGATAAAAATACAAATCTTTACCTGTTCAAGATACATAGCAAAATCTAGAGATGCTGTTACACCAATTGGAAAAATGTAATTAGACTCTATAGATGCACATTGTTCTGGCCTCAACATTCTGACTACTTTCTTTGACCTAACTGGACAATGATCCCCCGTAACTGAAGATAACATTAGCATCTTTGAAGTACAGACGTAAAATACAAAGAAAGTTGTATACTCTTCTCCTATGGTGCCGAAGGCAAATTTGCGCTAAGGTGTCTAGCAATATTAGCATCCCAACATAAACAATCAGTTGATCTTCGGCTTTGGTCTTCTTGGCTTTAATACAAACCAGAGTACAAGTAGAACCACCAAAAAGGCAGGAATTGTGGTCATATCAAACTCAACCTCGACTTTCCTCTGTCTAGTGCAGTGAATTGGACGGAGACTGGATAAAGTTACATTTACATAGTCTACAAATCTGCGAGAAAAAAGAAAGGAAGAAAAAATCTCAGTGAGAAAACCCAGAATGTAGGAGAAATAGTTCCAAGAACACGTAATTCAAAAAGATGCATAAACAGAAGTCTACAAATCACCTGCTTGAAATTGGTCCAGACATTACAATCAGGACCTCGATCCTGCTAAAAAAATTGACTCGAAAACATGCACACACAAACAAAATCACACATGCACTTCTTACAGCCAAATGGAATGAAAAGCAGAAAACTAAAAAAAAAAAAAGGAAGCTATGAACAATTAGCAATATCAAACACAAGTGAAGGAAAAAAAGGACAGTCACCTGAAACCCTTTTCCTTTTGTAATTCCAGTAACATCCACATATTGTCCAGGAATGAAACTGATGGATGTACCAAGTGGAAGAAGAGCATCTTCAGTCACTGGAAACTCCCTCAGCTTCCTCTTCCTGGGTACACCCTGAGATCTGAAATGACCCACTTCAGGCTTCGTCAAATGTTTCTCTTTCTTTTGTCTACAGCCAATCTAGCTACCACCACATCATCAAATCCATTAAAATAAAACAAAAGTTTCATCATGGTAACTACGTTTATCTAAGCAACACAGAATAAATTAGAATCATCTTATAGCATTAGGTAGCGCCAAATAATTAAGCATATTCTATTGATGCTTGAACTTTAGCATAATCTCATATAAGTGTCCAAAACCACTTCCATCAAAACAAAACCGCTTGACAATATTCCTGCATTTGAAATAACTTATGTTTGCGTGTGAAGAGTAACAAAGTTGTGCTGGAAGCATTGAAATTCCACCCCTTCAAATTGGGATTAGGAATGATCTCTTTCAATTTCAATTAACTTTTATTGATTCAAATTCCAATTGAACGTTGCAAAGGCGACATGAAAGACTATTGAAAATAAATTGGGCCTCCCACTGCAAATGAAATGGGGAAAGACTTCACACAAATTTTAAACGATTTCTAACAAATTCCACAGCAAAGCCCAACTTTGAATCATTTCTAATAAAATTTGATTCCAACATCTGCAAAAATTAACTTATAGAATTACCCTTATAAATGAGAAGGGTTAGTTTTAATGGCGTACAAAGCAATAACTTTGTACTGAATCAAATCAAATAAAAAGTAGAAATAAAAAAGATAAGGCCAGAAATCCAATAACCTGAAATGCGAAAATGCCGTCTGTTTCGGGGGTTTTGACTTGGGAGACAATGTTATCGTCCATTCCGATGAAACCCAAGTTCATATAGACAAAAAGGAAACCCACAGCTTATCAGTTATCATTATTTAATCCAAAGACAAAAGGCACAAATTTAATTAGGTAAAATGAGAGCATATATGGAACAAAACCCACGTGAAGGGCATGAAGAAATTGGGAAATCGGAGGTGGACCGGCGTCGGAAAGCTCTTTATGGAGGCCGTGGGAGATGTGGATTTGCGGAGGCCGTGGAAGATGTGGATGTAGAGTAGAAGAAATTGAAAAACCCAGAGGAATTCGAGAGAGGGAGAAGAGAGAGAGAGGATAAGCTAGGAAACGGGTGTTTCCGATGTTTTCAAAATTTGCCGAGTTTTGTACTAAAAAATTCCAAAACGTGGTTTTCCTCATTTTCCATTTTCAGTGCAATTTTTTTTTCTGTTTTCCAAAATTTGTTTTCAAAAATGAGAAGGAGAACACGTTTTCTGTATTTTGAAAAATCGAAAATAGAAAACGATCTGAAAACAGCAAAGAGAACAAGGCCTTAGTTTTTTCAAATATTGAAAATCTAGAAAAATTAATTAACTATGCTAAAAATTTGAAAAAAATAGAAACTTCTTAAAAATATTTTTCTTGCTATATGTGTATTTGTGTGAGTTGAATAGTTTTACCGGATAATGATGATATTATTCGAAATTGTTTATAATTTATGAATTATGATTCGTGATACTAATGTTTATTTCATCACTATAATCATTCGTGTAGATTGTGATATCTTAAGCACAATAGTTTTGATGATCATAATTTTGTGGGTTGTTTTGATTGTTAGAATATGATGAATTAATTTTGAGATTTTTGTTGTCAACTCCAAGATCACAAATATCCTTTAATGGTTTGAAATATTTGGCCACTATGTCATTGACTTGTGAATTTGTAACAAATAAAGATCACTGATTTCGTGCTTGCTGAATATTTGTGTCGACTATTTCTAGCAACAAATGGAACCTAGGTATTAACGATGAACTAGGGGTATGATCCCAACAAAAGGCATTGCACTGGTCTAGAAAGAAAGAGGTAAAATTATAGAAAGAAACAACTTGCATAAACAAAAATAAAAATAATGATTTTTGAGTGATGCTACATATTCTAGAGTAGAGAGAACAAATAGTAGGAATAAGCATCCTAGCGTTGATGTTATCAATGTCTAAGTGACATAACAAACATACAAGTGAGATGAATAGAGTGAAAAAAAGAATAAAAAAAGTGAGATGAATAAAATGAGTGAGAAAAGTATATTATAAAAAAAAGAAAAAGAAAAAAAAGGTTTGTTTTCTTTTATACGTGAGTATGTAAGCAATTGGATATCAAAAAGAACTGCTTCCTAGATAAGTCTTGGACACTTAATTCAGGGATTTGCCTAGTTGAAGCTTAAATGTTAAGAAATTCAAATGCATGCATAATCATTATAGATAGAGATGGTCGCTTTCATTCATTAAACCCAATCAAACTTGAGCGAAAAATGAATGAGTGTTGTGAAAGAAACCTCAGATTAAGTACATAGTTAAACCCAACTAAACTTGAGCAAAAAATGAACGAGTATTGTGAAAGAAACCTTTGAATAAATACCTTAAGTAAGAGATTGAATAACAAGTTTGGGGTTGTATATCTTAAGAGATAGAAAGGAAATAATTAACTATTAAAAATCGGGATATGACCAACCTAAAGGTTTATGGTGATTAACTTAGGCATTCTGAAGCTCTTAAGAGAATATGAGGTTGTCATCATCATCGTCAATTCAAAAGACTTACATGGCCCATCCTAATGCTCCTCGTCGCTTGGTAGATAGGCGATTGAAAGTTTATAGTTCGTTCCCTTGCGGCCTTAGTTGATCTCTTCTCATGCCTATTTCTACGCTAGGGGTTCATTCTGGGACCTATTCCTAGGCATGAGACCTAAACATAGAAAGCTCGTGAGGTGGCTTATTTCTAGGTTCTCTGGTGCCTAACTTGTTAAAGACGTTGGCGGACCTTTTAGGTCCATGCTCTCCTACGTAAACCAGATAGAAATTTTCGTAGGTTGGCCAGAAAGGTAATTTTGAGATATATCAACTCTCTTTCAATAGGGCTAGTGGAATTGTGCTTTATCACTTTGTTCCTCTTGCTGGTTTACTCATTGGGCTTGATGGCCTTGGAAGAAATCTGGTTGAGGCATGTTTTGAGGGCATCTGCATACTCGTTTGCGACTGCATCTGTTGGTGAAGCTATTGCATTATGGAGTTCTACTCTATGATGTTTCTCATATTGGCGATCATGGCTGCCACTTCTCTAATAAAGCATGCAATGACCTAACCACCTCTACGATGTTGAGGTCGAAGATGAGTAGCGTGGACACGAAGAGCCTCTTCTTCATAGGCATGCATGTTCTTTGATAATTTATTTCTTGCCTTGCTGCTTTTTGCGAATTTCTTTCATTTTCACTAGCACTCATGATGTGTGAATGCCTCTTTTAATCAAAACTGGGTCTATTGAATGGATTCTTCTCTTCAAAGTCTATCATTTTTCAAAGAAAACTTGAAATGCCCAGATGATGAATAATACTTATGAGTAAACTAATATCTTCATTGAGATCTCCTATCATTCTAGTCTGACTATAATTTAGTATCACTGTATCCATGAACTCTCAGTTCATCTTCTCCATATAAAATCTTGAGAAGATTTTATCTATATAGATTGGGATGAGTCAAACAACATTCTAGATCTATTTCATTAGATCAAGTTGCTTCTCCCATAGCTTTCATGGATATATTATTTGACAATCATAATTTAAACGATTGAAATATAGGGATGTGGTTTCCTATTATTAATATGTCTTATGCATATAATATCAGGAATGCGACAAATCTTCCACTATCTTCTTGTAAACACACAGTTCCTCTTCATTTTTTTATAAAATCAAACCTTAAGACTTTCCTATCAAATTGAAGATTTCAGTTCCTAAAGGCTTGTTTCAATCAGTATGTAGATCGATCAAGCTTGCATACCTTATAAGCATATTTGGATCCAAACCTTCAAGTTGTGTCATGTACACTTCCTCTTGGAAGTTCTTGTTAAGGAATGCAATTTTAACATCCATTTACCATAACTCATAGTTACAGGATGCATTTATTGCAAGCAAAATCTGAATGCATTTCGGCATGGCTACAGGCTAAACTATTTCATCAAAGCCAACTCATTGTCTTTGTTTATAAAATTTCGCTATTAGCCTTGTTTTGTACGTATGGATGTTTCCATCCATGTCGACCTTTTCGTGTAAATCCATTTACAACCTATATATTTTATACCATCAGGCCGATTGATCAATGTCTAAACCTTGTTTGGTCATTGTGCCTAATATACATGTTTCGCATTTGTCAAATGGTTAAAAATCATTGGCACAAATATACATCTGCATGTAATTTAGGAATTTTATTATCATTTATGTGATCAAATCTACAATGTTAGATATAGGTCTTATTTAAATTATCATTTTTATGTCTTTCTATTTTTATACTCATTATAGAATATTCAATATTTGGAATATAAATGTCATTTTGTTATTTACCGTAACCATTAAGATCTTATCATGATAAAAAGAACAATAATTGTCCTTAACATTAAAATAATTCATGTCCATACATGAAATTCAAGTAATATTCTTGATAATGGTGAGAACAGAATAAAATATCTCTAATTCTAATACCAAGTCTAAAGGCAATGACAAGAAATATGTTTCTACAGGCAATGCAGCAACATTTACTCATTTTCAACGTGCATGTCAACTTCTCCATTTTGCAAGGTCTACTTCTATTTAGTTTCTACATATTTATAAATATGAGATTCATATCTGGTATCTAATACCAATAAGCTAATGAAGTAAATATAAGTCTTGCAATTTCTTTTCCAATGACCTATCATTCCAAAATGATTATAAGGGTCATTAAATTTAGCATTATCCTTATTCGGTTTGACTGTCTTGCCATCTTAGTTTCTTTCCTAAAGTATCATTTAGACTTCCCTAGAGAAATCTATGAGTAAGATTTGCCCACTACAAACTTAGATATTGGTCTTAATAGTCTTAAGCATTTAAGCAACTCAATGAGTGTGCATTCGAGTTTATTCATGTTAAATTCATAATTAGCTATGAGTAGATCTCTGGCAAAGATTGCAGAACTAAGTCAATACTTAGTTCATGATTCATGACTGGACTCAATTAAGACAACTTCTCAATGTTGTCAATATCTTTAGTACACGAGCACTGACTGAAGATTCTGTTGTCATTATGCACTAATATAGATGCTAGGATATCTCATATCTTTCCACACTTAATTATTCATCATACAACTCTTTATAATGAAAGTCATATGTTAGCATTTATACTCTCATGTTGCTTTTGTAATTCATATGACATAGCTACAAGTATCACATGTTGTAATACTATCGTTATCACTGTGTTTTTATAGCAGCCACCTCTCTCTTAGTCGAGTCATCAACAGATGTCTCTAGAAAGGGCTACTCAAGAACATGACAAACTTTTTCATGCCTGAAAACAATTCTCATATTGCGGTGCTAATCAAGAAAATTTGGTTTGATTGTTGACATCTAATATGCCTCTCAAATAATTATGATTACTCATGATTCAATAAATATAAATGACGAAAAGTAAAAGGATAATACATAAAACGCATCAATTGGTTTATCATGGTCTTTTACTAAATTAATTATGCCACCACTATTTAACTCAAATTTATGACACTCTCGCATAAATTCATGGAATCCAACTCCCAGTGGGTTGGGATCTCATTTGTTATATAAAGACCTTGAGTGTATTCAACAAACCTCAATAAAACATTTGGATAGATACTATTATCAATTGTATTTTCATACAACTCTTACATAATTAAACTGGTAACTCTTTGTCTTCACACATCTTATGTGCTAGCTTAACATGCCTCTAAATTTTATCTACTTAAGTGTACTCAACAAAAAATAAATTTTATTTAAGTCAAACCCATC